CAATGTTGTTGACACCCTACAGAGGAAAAAGCTGCTGATATTTATGGGGCACCATCCATATATGAACTTGAGCTGAGCAGAGCGCTCCCTGTGGACAGGACACAGAGATACGAACACAATGAGAGTGGGAGGAGAGGGGCCGTGAAGCTTATCGCACTGAGACTCCAACAGTCTTTACTCAGTGGTAGTCTGTTGTCAGTGCTGATCGATTGCTTTGCACATTTGACATAGTTTTGTATTAGAGGCCATGTTCACACTACAGCAGAATACACTTGTCAGTCTTGTTTTTGATGCTTAATACGGTTATGATCATGGTTTACACATTATAGTGATTCATTAAATCATCAGGACCTACAACCCAATTTTTAGAAGCCTGTTTTCACTCGGCATAAAAAAGGTAATTGAAATGTTTTATCTCAAGATTCTGACTTTATTTCAGAATTTCGAGTTAATATCTTGGAATTCGGACTGAGTTTTTCACAATTGTCAATTTTGAACAATACTGTATTTCTCACTATATAAAGTTAATATCTCACAATTTTGAAATTCTGACCTTTTTTCGAAGACTTTTTTTTAACATCTCGTAATTCTAGAAGTTTTTACATCTCGCCTTTTTCTCTCCGAATTACAATTTAGATTTCAAAATTCAGACTGTTTTTTGTTTTTTAATGATGGCTAATTGGTTAACAAAAGAATTTGCCTGTATCCCAAACTGCATATTTTGATCAAGAAATCTTTGGCAGCCTACTTTCCATTTCGTAGCCAACATTCATGAAATTAATATTTTGTTCACAAAATGTACTTCATCTCGCAGACAGACCCTTTCATCCAGAGGAGAAAACCTTCTTCACTATCAACTTCAACCTTTCATACAGTAGATGTAAAATACTGTTAAAAAATTGTGAATTAGTCACCTGTTTACTGTTTAAATAGTTACATCAGATGATTGCGTATGTAGCACTTGGGGAGTAAATCAGATATCAGTCATATACTGTGTTTGTCACCAAACACTGTGTGAACGTATTTGCAGTAGGCTATGCAGTGAACTCAGTTGTATCATTGACAACATTCATTTGCATATTAATGCAATGCAAGTTGTAGCCTAGTATTGCATCATTAACATTAAACTCCGAAACCGTGACTTAATTTGACGCATTTCTGAGGTCTTGTGGAAAACATTACTGCATGACTTATTCAATTCATCCATTACTGTAGCACCAATGTCACTCACACTAATTTGTGTGTGCGTCTCTGAGCGGTTTGAATAATAATTTGGAGGGGGCGTGTTAATTCGTTCTATATTAAACCAGATTTGTTCACCTATGTAATTAAAAGCAGCTGAGTGGTGTTCCAGTGAGACTAAATGCCGAGGGGCAACGTTCCATTTAGACGAGTCAATATGAGCGGAGAGGTTCATTACTCATCGAGAGGTGGAAGTGAGGTCATAATCAAACACTGGCATCCTACGGGGGACTCGTAACCTCTCTTTGCTTCTCTCTTCGCTGCCATGTTACGTGCTTGAGAGGTTTATAGCTTATTGTCTTCATTGTGCTATTAAAAAAGCTGTATCTGGCCAACTAAGAAGTCTCAAAAGACAATAAAATAGGTTTATGCAAACGAGCATGCATTTTTTATTCGTGGCGTGGCCTGCTACTCTAAAAATCATTCTGGGTGACTTTAAACTGCATGCCGTTCTTGCCTACCATCATGTGCTTGTTGTTAGGACGTTACTTTTAATATGGGTATCGCATCATGTCAAGTAGAAAATAACTGATTATATACCTTAATGAATGTGTCAAAACAAGGGTAATGGATGAGCTAATCGATCTCACGTGGAATGTGCCTCTGACTGCAGAACTACACCAAAGATCATGGAACTCTGTAAAAAAAAAAAACAGCTGTATTGACATTTATACCTCGTTTAAATCCATTCAGCAGAATTATGCGAATGTTCTCAAAAAAATCAAACAAAGATTTTATCTTGGCATGTCAAATCTTAACCCAGCGAAAAGACAACGACGATATATAGTAGGCTATTTGAACAACAGCTTATGTAGCCTACAGGTAAACATCATCTTGTCTGCGTGTTATCAAAATGAAAATAGCTCTTATTTAGGCAGGTCTTCAGAAAGACAAGCCAGTGGGAATAATTAATTTTGGGGATAATAGGGAATAAATCTCTAGAGGGAGTATGACACCATGCTGAACATGTACTGAAACCTGAAGACGTTAATCAAGATTCTGCACTTTTCACTGCTCACCAATCAAATAAAATCACATCTGAGACATTTATCATGTCCACTAAAAGGTTGGATTTAAAAGGTCTGGGGGGGTTTTGCTTTCATCACAACTTTGGTTTCATGCTGACTCTAATAGGCTACTCACTAAAATTGTTATCCAGAGTATATGCAAAAAAAGGAGTATCAGATTTTTGAACCCCAAATCTCTTGGTATGAGCATCACTACATTGTACAACCTCAGCTCTTTTTAGATCTTCGTAAAGATCTTGATTAAAGATCTTTTCACTAGTAGTTCATATATATATATATATATATATATATATATATGTATGTATATATATATGTATGTTTGTATATATGTATATATGTATGTATATATATAGGCCTATATATATATATATATTGTGTGTGCGTGTCAAAATCAATGAATAAAAAATGTATGTTGTTACAGTTATTATTACTTGACAGGACTTAAATGTGTATTCTTACAAGTTAAAGAACAATACTGCCACAGTGGCCGGTGGCTGAAAAAGTTAACTTCAGACCCTGGAGCCATGCATGGTAATTTATAATAATAATAATTTTTATAGTAAATTGTGTACACACTGTGTACACAAATTGTGTACACAATGATGAGAATATGAAAACAATGAGATGCCCTGTCAACTCTTCCTTTCTCATTTCACCTCTGCATTTCACTTATTGTCAACAACAGGTTAATAAAAAAAATTTGCTTTGTCAAATATCTATATCTCTTTTAAATAGTTAACTGGAAGCTTAACTGACCTTAAAAATGGTCATTCATATTTTGTTAATGCATAAATTCTCTTCGTGATATATGAACTATATGGGCCTAATGTTTATTGGGTCACAAAGATTTATCGACTTAAAAATGTGGGTCCCCAGAAAAAAAGTTTGGTAAACACTAGTCTAGGTGACCCGAGAGACTACGAGAGATGTGATGTGACACCACATTTCGCCCTTCTTCTCGCCCCCCTCAGTGCTTCAATTAAATAATTGACAGGTGCATGTGGAGACAGAGACAATCAATTATCCTACTGGCTCTGAACTTAACCGCACTGTGTCTTAAGGGTGAAACGCTGAGGACATTGTACCACAGAGGACACATTCAGTGCAAAAAGGGAACTGCTTTCTCACTAAAAGTGCTCAGGGGAAACTTCTAAAAGGGAGCTCTGTGATTCATTTGAATGAGGACTACTGATGTATACAAGAGCAAGGTTAAAGGAACAGCTTTTTCTTGTTCTTTTTTAACGCTTTGCAACAAGTTTCGTGTTAATGAGGAATGACTGAGGAGGACTGACTGAGCTTAACAGGAGTTTTAGGTTTAAACACTTGCTCTGCTATGTTTCTGCATGGCTACCCTAAAGAGGCCAGTTAAACCCAGAGCATTGATGTCACTGCAGGACCTATGGGTATTCAGAGTCTCCAGACAGACAGACAACAAGCACTATCTGCCCTCTACTGGCCTGTCACCGTATAATCAACAACAGATTTGGTGTTTGGTTATTTATGTCAAGATGTTGAATGTTTCTCAAGCAAAGAACAGAATAAATGAATTATTTGGGTTCTGCTGTTAAACTAGGACCCTAAATCTAATCAAATGGTAATTGTATCGCGCCATGTTACAAATAAATATCTTATCACTGGCGAAGCCATTCCAGATCGTATCGTGATGAAACAACTGATTTACCTAGTGTGCAGTGCTACATAGGCAACATGTAACCATAGTAACAGCAGCCCATTTGTTATCTTTACTGTTTAGATCAGCAGCCTACATTTACCGAAAGTTATGTTCTCTCATAATACATCACATTATTACAGATTAATGTTACTTAGCCAACACAGAACAGAATAAAATACAAAATAAGCGTTCTAGCGTTGGCCAGACACCTTGCGCTGTACGTTTCAAGACAAAAAGCGACAAACTTATTTATTCCAACATCACTCATAGAAAGTGCTTAGTTTTATCGCACTGAAAGGCGGTGTATAATTTACACACTGGGCGTGACAAGTTTGGTATTGATCATAAAACTTTGTTAGTGTCAATGATGAATGTAGGCTACAATTTAATTTGTACCCATTTTATGTACTCTTTGTAAGTAATTACTACGCTTGTCAAGAAACAACTCATTGCTGGTTTACGAGACAGGCTTGCACGACTTGAAAAGCAAAAAAATAAAAATGTCCAATCTATGTGTAACATGACCCAAGGAGTAAATAACCAGGCGCACGGCGGTTGTGCAGTTTCCATCAATAAGCACATTTTTTATTGATATAATTCAGCAGTTAAAGAAAATAAGTCCTTAAAAGCATATACCCACAAAATAAAAAAATAAGAAACAAAAAAAACAAAACCCACAGATGGCCACAGGTTACCTATATCGTGACGACAGTAGTCCTGAAAGTGCTCTCACCACAGCAAAACTCACAGCAATCACACTGCAACCCTAAAGGCAAAAATACAAATAAAGTGACCAACACCACACGATCCCAGCCACCTCACCACCGCCATCCATTCAGTGAGGGTAACCACGCCATCGTTGGGAAAAAAGAAGTCTACAAAAAGGAAAGAAAAAACAGTAGGTAATGCCAGTACTAGGACAAACAAGTCCGCACAATTGAACCATCACACTTAGTTTATGGTCTGGGGTTTTCCCACTTGGTCCAGCATCAGACAAAACAATAAATAAACCAAAGAAAATTAAATCTAAAGTAAACGGTAACCGTGCATCCCTGTAAGGGAAAACACAATTAATTACAACACGGAATTATATACAATGTACAAAAAAAACACAAAATAAAACCCAATATAAATTATGCACAGATGGAAAAAACATTATTAAAAGTTCCCTTTAATAAAACAATACCTCAAACATCCGATATTTCTGACTGGCACTCAGGCAACAATCAGTCAGGCAATAATCCGGCAAAAACACTAAAAACCAAAGAACAATAAAATAATTAAAACAAAATCCTAAAAACAATTATATAAAATAATAAAACTACTACCTCCTAAATGGTGTGTAACAAGTACTCAGCTCTCCATGACGTTCACATAGCTGCTTATCTGCTACTATCCTTCTGAAGGGCTTAATCTGTCGTGACATGCACACATAACTCAATCGCTGCAAAAAGAAATAAGAGCAAACTAATCTCTCTACTTACCAACCTTTGAAACTTTAAGTGTGCCGCCTCCACAACACACACGACAACCACAACACACGATCACGGAAAGGAAGTGAGAGGACAAACAAACCTCACTACTTCCTTATAATAGCGCTGGGGCTGATGGGACTTGTAGTTCCCCAACCTTGTCCCATTACATATGGCATAATGGCAACACAGATCATTAATTATGTTCACCTTATTTGCCATCTATTTAGTAATTCTAAAAAGCTCCCTGTCTTCAGAAAAAAAAAAAAAATACAAAACTGCCTGACTGTTTTCCTGACTGAAATTACACAAGATATTTTATCCAAATGCACTTGCCCATGTTAAAGGACAATTACAACAGAGATTTGGACAACACAACTGGATATCATTCAAACACCGTTTTCCGGTGTTTATTTGGGATTTATGATTCTATTAAATTTTCCACAAGAAAAAAGTTCTTTAGATTATTAACTGTTCTCTTCACACTAAAAGTGTGGTTATATTTACCATTTTTCAGCAAATTGTTGCAAGGAAATGCAGTCATTTTAATAGGAATCCACGCAATCTGGAATTTTGTAGGAGACGCCCACATTTCGCATCGAATTGAAGTATGTCAAACTTTAATCATGCATTGCTGCCCACTGGAAAAACCAACTCAAGCTGGTAGCTCATCCAAACTCGTTAAAGCTGGTCCACCAGCACAACCAGCTAATGACCAGCTTGGACCAGGTAATGACCAACTTGGCTGATCTGGTGGACTAGCCTGACCAGATCTCCACCAGATAATGCCAAGTTGATCAACTAGAATCACCAGCTTGGACCAGATAATGACCAACTTGACCAGGTCTCCACCAGCTAAGGCATACATCAGCTTTGTGAAATGGCATTGGCTCTCTTGTGTCTCCTGAGTCATGACAGGCATGTCCAAAAGTCATCAGGATCTATACAATATTGACAAGAATAAGGGGAAAATGTCATTTAAAATCTACACTTACAATATTGACAAGAATAAGGGGAAAATGTCATTTAAAATATACACTTACTGGAACAAAGGACGCTTTTTTTGTCAGCCAAACATTTTCCCTGCTTTCATTAATGTTACTCTGCCTAAAAATAAAAATGGTTATTTTAAGATCTGTTCACTGAAAGGTTCTTTGGGGAACCCAAAATGGTTTCTCTATGGCATCGCTTCAAAAACATTTATTTTTAAGAGTGCAGGGCTTTTGGTTTCAAACAATATGCTAATGTAGTTTTGATTGACAAGCTACTATTAATTACCATTCTGGTGGATGAGAATTCCAGCACCTGTTCTCATTATACTCAGACAATGAAGCCAAATTGATGATCAGTACAGAGGTTTTGTCATTGCATCTTTATTTCCAGGTTTTGCATCACTTTCCATTTTGATGGTAATCCTTCTCTTTTTGCAGTCATCAAAATGTAGCTACAGACCAGGAGAGCCTGAGCTCCATCCACTCTTCATCTCAGCAGGAGGGTCTCTGGGGCAAATGAATGAGTCCAAGGCTCTGGGAGGAATGTCAGCTGGCTGGAGGAACTGAGAGGCCTTGAGCAAAAACTTCTCTTCATGTACTGCACAGACTTGGGCTTCCACGCAAAAAAATAAAAAATAAAAATTGTGGGGGGAGAAAAGAGTCTTAATTCTGAAGCACTCACCCTGTTCAGTCATACTGAAGCCTACAGCAACAGACGGCTTAAGAGTTTCAACAGCCAAAAGCATGCGAGAAACATGGAAAACACTAAAAAGAAAAATAAATACATCTTGGGATTTAAAAAAGGAAGAAAAAACTTAATACATTAGTTTTAAAAAAAATTCCTCTCTCAACTTGTGTTTCTTACATATATATATTAAACACACAGCTTTGTACAATTTGGTAAAGTTCTCCGTTCTCTAGCTAAGTCTGCAGGGGAAGGAGAGGACTGGGCTGCCCACGTTTGCTGGAATGAGGACATGTACTCGGGACAGGTAAGTTTGAGAGGAGACAGTCCGTCTTCCCTAATTGACGAGCGCTGACAGAAGCAAGAGGCCTTTTTAGAATATTCCCCTCATTTTAGGATGGAGGTGTTCAGCAGTGAGGAAGACAGGCTTGTGCGGAGCATGTTACGGATAGAGATGATGCCCCCGTCATCACAGGAGCCAGAAACTTCTGCCACTCTATTTCTTATCTGTGGGAGGAAGAAGTCAGAGAGGAATGATGGAATAATCCTGAAACAGAACGCAATGCCAATGGCCGTTTGATTTTTAAAAAAAGGTTTAGCGGTCAAAGTGCAGACAGTACCTCTGCTTTCGTCTGCATCTGCGGCTGACCCAACAGGCCTTTGGCGAAGTAGATTATAATACTTAGTTTCCATCTCCTGAAAAACATTACAAAAGATATTAGAAGTTGAGATAAGAAATCATCTCCCTTCACAAACAAGGAAACACGACTGTTGATGTAATTACTGTTAATAAATCAATTACAAAAATATTAATAGATATAAACAATAATCCATTTATTAATCGTTTAACCATTTAATTGTTGTTATTAATATTACACAATACATATTATACTTTGTTTATATATAACAGAATAAAACTAATCATTTTAAGATCAGTTATTAGACAAAAATAATTGGCATTGCAGTAATGGTGGATCATATAAAAACTCACCATAATAAAATAAAAGCAAAAAAATAAATAAATAAATATCGATGCCAGAAACTAGCAAGACAAGGATCACAAAACAAGTCTGACTATAAGAAACCTAAGTGTATTACAATCATAAAGACCACAATGTTTTATATTGCAAAACAATGAGAATATTGTGAACATTTGATACATCATGAAGGCTTAAAGCAACACCAAGGAAGTGAATAGTTGAAATAAAGTCATTATTTTTGTTTGTTTTTGCGCACAAAAAGTTCTCTCGTTGCTTGATAAACTTAAAATTGAGCCACTTTAGTCACTTGGACTATTTTAACGATGTGTTTAATAACTTTTTGAGGCCGGCAAGTTTCAATTCCTCAAGATACCTATGGACTAGTGTGTAGGAGTGATCCAGCTCTCAGATTTAATCAAAAATATCTTAATTTGTGTTCCGAAGATGAACGAAGGTCTTACGGGGTCGGAACAACATGAGGGGGAGTAAATATTGACAGAATTTTAATTTTTGGGTGAACTAACCCTTTAACCCCTAGTTGCTCCAGAGGGGTGCGACCTCTGACATATATAGCAATTGTAAGTCGCTTTTGGATAAAAGCGTCAGCTAAATGAATAAATGTAAATGTAAAGCGAATCCAGAAGTGCCTTTCACCCTGTTACGACATAATGAACCCCTGAAACGATTTTGGAAACTTAAAATTTTAGGGTAAAAAAATCTTACTTAAGTGTTGCTTTAAAATTCAGAGACAGTTGAGAGCAGACAGACCTTGAGGTGGTTGAGGTTGGCCTGCAGGCAGCGAAGATGGGAGAGGACCTGTTTGCTGAGGCGAGACGTGCTGCCTGAGGATGGTGAGGAGAACCTGAGACTGATGCCCGAGTCAGCAGCACAGCTGTGGGCCAAACTCGGCTCCTTTCTCCTGACCTGAATATCATCATCTGTACTGCTCTCGCCTGAGCCGCCGTACCCCTCCAGAACCAGGTAGGCTGCTAAAAAGCACAACTACAATTAGTCGGGTCACCTGCATGTTGGAGCGGGTGCACTACTACACCGTTTTACTTTTCTTTTTATTTATTTATTGATGATAAACGCATAACATCTCCATGTCTAACCATCCGTACAAGCCAGAGTTTCCTGAAGACAGCAAAGTTCTTTGGTCGAAGACTCACCGTAGTCTTCTGGGCACTCGTAGAAGCCTGTGTCTCCAGAAGTGTAGTCCTGAGCTCGACTAGGGGAGCGAGCAGAGCTGTGCTCCACCGGCGTGCGTAGAGAGGTGGTCCTGAGGAGACGACTGCCAGCCGATCGACCCAATCGTTCACCCTCATCCTGAGCCATCAGCTGAGTCAACAGCACCTGCTTCAGAGCCGCCACTGAAAAACACGATCACCATAATAAATAATAAACTAACCTGAAATTAAGACGCTAACACAACATAAGACAAGACAAGTGTCGAGAGCCTATTTATAAGAGATGTTAACAAGAAAACTGAATCAGAAAAAATAAAATGTTGAATCTGTGCTGCAACAAACTGTGACAATAGGAATTACAATAAACACACTTATTAAAGGGATAGTATACCCAACTTTATAATTTACCTCATGTCATTTCAAACCTGTATGACTGACTTTATTCTGCAGAACACAAAGATTCGAATTTTGGTTTCATTGTATTTTTTTGTCCGTACTTCATATAGTATTTAAGTCAATATGAACCAAAACTAGTTATCAACATTTTGGAATGGACTACCCTTTAACAAAAAAAAGAGGAAAGAAAAAAGGAATAAAGCAGCAATATGCTGAAAAAATTAGAGCATGTAATATGCCACACCGGGCAATCAGGGACTACGTGGTGACTTGAAAGAATTCAGAGTGTTTTTTGGTTACACTTTACAATAAAATTTCATTTGTGGACATTAGGTAACTATATTAGTTAACATGAAACAACAATAAACAATACTTTTATTAATCTTAGATAATCACAACATTTACTAATACATTTTAAAGATCAAAAGTTGTATCTGTAAGCATACATTAATGCCCTGTGAACAACACTAACATTTTTATTACCTTGCATTTACAAAAGTTAATATATGCAGTAAGAATTTATTGCTCATTGTTAGTCCACGTTTCACTGAAACAACTTTTCTAAGCTCACATATTTGTTGTTTTCAGCAGAAGTGAAGTGAAGTACAGAAGATCTTTTATTGTTAGATACTAAACTAATTAAAAGACACTTGGAAAATAAATAAGCCTTTTCTGGAGTTGTTTTAATCAATAGAGGCTGAATTGTCAATTTCTTGAGTTGGCAGGCACACAGACAACAGCCACTCAATGCAGAGAAGAAGCCAAAACAAATGGTGACAGTAGCCTTCTTGGTATCTGGCATTGGTAAGATGTTTGGCAAGCACAATTTATCATTATGTCAATTATACATTTTTTATTATTTCAAGTTACCAAAGATAAAACATGATAAGAAAGTGATATGTACATAAGCTAATGCAGTTCAAACGGAGTCTTACATGTTTTAAGGGCCTCATCTGCTTTAGATGAACATGATAGAGAGTCTGCGTCCCTGCCGTTCAAGAGTACGGAGTCCAGATACGAGTCATCCCTGCCAGCTCTGGGTAACTGGTCCTCTTCCCCAGGGTTGGCGTCCGGGACACAGTCCCGCAGGGCTGCCGAGGGCGAAAATTCACTGTCTTTCTCTGAGGACAGATGATGAAGGCTCGAGTTGAGTATGGTTGGCAATCAACACTTTCACAATCAGAGAAGAGCTTGTACATGCAAAGCTACCTGCGGACTGGATGCTTCCTGTGGAGATTCGATCAGAGCCTTTGCTGAACTTGCTTAACTCAACACCGTCTCTGTCGCCACTAGAACACAGTTGAACGTTTATGTAAGCCACATGTCTTTATCATTTATAGTTACTACTTTTTTATATGCTTTGTGTGTATAGATTTTATTTTTACTCGTGTCCCAGACAGTCCCAGACTTTAAATCTTAAAACTATGAAAATCTAACATAAAAAATGCTGTACATAATTTCATTACATATAACCATGTACAGTATATCTATAACTATGACAATCTAAACAAAGGATTATCATATAGCATTTTAATATTTAGGTGAATATGTATCTGGAAAAAACGCGTGCTTCATTCCATTGTGGAGACACCGGTGAAATCACAAAACAAAATGCACAAACGAGTCCCTGCTTTATACACTCACCTAAAAAATTATTAGGAACACCATACTAATACTGTGCTTGACCCCCTTTCGCCTTCAGAACTGCCTTAATTCTACGTGGCATTGATTAAACAAGGTGCTGAAAGCATTCTTTAGAAATTTTAGCATCTTACAGTTGATGGAGATTTGTGGGCACGAAGCTCCCATTCCACCACATCCCAAAGATGCTCTATTGGGTTGAGATCTGGTGACTGTGGGGGCCATTTTAGTACAGTGAACTCATTGTCATGTTCAAGAAAACAATTTGAAATGATTCGAGCTTTAACTATGAAAACATAGTTATGGATGTCATATTGCATTTCTGTTAATAGATACTCAATTTTTACACATTGCACTTTACCATTGCTCCTGATTATTGCCGTGTTTGGACCTATTATAGACTGATACTATACATTTTAATTATATAATTCATTGTATAATACTGGTAGTGGAGTCCAAGGGGCCGAGGGGGCTGCCCCAGGACGCTGGGGTTAGCTGTTAAGCCCTCTGGAGGTGTTGTGGGTTAATTGACGAAACACTGCTAAAGGAGGGTACCCACCTGATGACCCGAAGATAGCACCTTGGGCCTACGCCACAAAGCTCAGTAGGTCGAACATGTAATGCGCGAGTGTTGGCCATCACCTCAAATATGCGGCTGGGACTTCACCCAGCCATTAAGTTGAGAGCGATGAACCCATCGTATTTCAGACCAAATGACACTGTTTTTCAAAAATGTTCAATGAGGAGCAAGCTAATCTATCGAATCTTTTATTATTCTCACTGTGCGAAGGTTATGCGGTGATGCGCTTTGAAATGCCAGGGCAAATCAATTGAAATATTTAATAATAATAATAAAACAATAATTGGAAATGCCAAATCCTCTTGATATCGCAGACAGCTGATGCTTTTGACGGAATCTCCTGCTATCGTTGATTCACAATATCATCGCATATCAGCACTAGTCCAATGGACACTTTACAAGGGATTGGCAGTAAAGCGATGCAACTCATGCCATAGGTCACAGGCCAGTAAGTACAAACACTTCAGTATGGTTAACTAAGCTGAGATCGGTAGAAGTTGTGAGGGACTCACTCGTGCTGAGGTAAAGGAATAACGCTGTGGGGTTTGGCGTTCTTAACTTCGGCCCTCTGAGCGATCTGCCCTTGCCACCTGATATAAAAGACAGAGAATAAACTCATCTCTATAAACAAGAAAGTCATGGCTTTCAGAAACATCAGAAGGAAAGAAGTGGCCACAACTTACATTCTCTGCTCGGACACTGTTTGGGCCATAAGCTCATAGATCTGAGCTCCGTTTTTGGACATGGAGATCACGAAAAATGATCTGTTATCTGTTTGGAGAAATAAAGGAAACCTATAAGGATAAATTCTTCAAATATACATGTTTGACAAATGAGAATACAGACGCTCACCTGTCGCCACCGAGCGCACCAACACAGTGCTGAGCTTGATGATGGGACTAAAAATGTGTTTCGTGTCAGCCGTTCCTGCGAGGTTCTTACTCTGACACCTGAGAATAAGACGCTCGTCCTGCTTCTGCAGCAGCACAAGGATGTCTTCCAGGAGTAAAGTATATAGCTCTGACACAAAAAAAGACACCAGTGTTATTATACAATCATCAGAAACCAGCTCTTGGGACGTTTAAGAGCAGTGGCTTACCAATAGTTTTGTCTTTGTTAATCTTCCAGGACAGGGGACCCTCATGGACCATCTTTCGTTTAGTGAGATCCAGGTTCTGTGTGACAATAAATTATTGAGTACCTTGCATCCTTAAAATCCCAGTTGTTACTAGAAAGGACTCACTAGTTTTGTACACAGAGCACCCCATTTAGATTTGCTTTAAAAATCTGGACATTTTAAAACTGGATTCAAATTAAAATGAAAACTGAAAATACAAAAATAAATACTAATTCAAAGTACTATTAAACGCTATAATAGTAGTAGTAAATTAAGTTGTTACAGTGATGATTTCAAACTACATATCAAATGGGGTTTCAAGATTTTGAACTTGATTTCAGCTCCTCAAGATGCTGTTTTACAAAAAAAAAATCATTTCAGACACATTAAATGTGATTAATACTGGTTTGCACGACAACTAAAACTACCTACGACTAACCTACTCTTCTCTATTCCTCAAATACCGTTCTCCAGGAATGATCCTAGAATATTTTGAATTAGTACTTACCTTAAACTCAGAAATCATGGGGTTCTCGCTCTGCTTGAGGGAAGAGAGGTCCAGCCGTCTCTGGTAGTCTTCCAGTCTCTGTGGGACATAAGCAATATATTTATTTATGCTGCAGAATCAATTAACATTTGCTGACCTTTTATGATGCTGTTTTGAGACAAAAACAAAAACAAAACAAAAAACCTTGATAATTGCAATATTTTAGAAATACACTGTGGACGTCAGAAAAGATTCATTTTTCCAAGCTGGGATTCTTTTTAATGAATTTCCTTATTAATGATCTCCAGCAGTACTGTATACAGAAAGTTAGATTCCCGTTTCTACTCAAAAAGCAGTTTCAGGGCTGATGTAAGAGGACTCAGATGCGTTCAACCTATAGATGAGTTTTGACATTCATTAAGTTCTGGTTTTCCAGTCCTTCCTCTGAGCGGACCTCAGGCTATAAAATGTGCCTTCCTTGGGCTGTCTGCTGAAAGAGAGAGAGAGAGAGAGAGAGAGAGAGAGAGAGAGAGAGAGAGAGAGAGAGGGGTAGCTCGATCGAATTGAACTGCTTACCTGTTTATTCTCTGACTCCTTCACAGACTGGTTGACGTGGTTGAGAATCTGTCGACAGCATTCGGCTGCTCGTCTCACTTTGACTTTCTCCTCTGACTCATCTGTTGGTAAGAAAGATACACAATGTACATGCACACACGTTTCAAGAAGAGACTAATCAATTCTTTGAGAACATCCTGGCCAGCCAAGTGCCCTCTATTTCCCCAAGTGCCAACCACTGAGACTATTGCCAAGATCAGATGAATATAAGGAGAATCACCCCCTCCTTAATCGCTAGTTATACTTCACATGTATTGCCTGCCTCTGACAATGCCAAGAGCCACAATTTAAAACGTCTGCCAAGTAATGTGTGAGACAATTTGAAAGTGTCCGATTCTTGGAATAACAATAAGGATTTAAGGATACCTCAAATTTACTAATGTTTTATGTCCAGGCAGGAAACGCAGTGGTGTAGGGACCACAAAGTGGTGATGGGGTCTTTGGGCTGATATATTTCCTTCAAGGCACCTTCAAGGTTAGCATTCTCAAGCCACCAGACAGTTGTTGTGCGAATGAGCGGGCCGGAGCATATTAAGGGTTTTCTGCTAGAACAGCGTCTTGTTAGCACACCCCCCTTAGTCAATAACTAATGATCTTTGCAACGTAAGTGAATCGATCAAAATTAACTTTAGCTGGACAATAACTTTATTCTAAAGCTGCTGTAACACCCAAAACAATCTCTGTTACTTTAATTTCCTATTATCACTGTAAAGCTGCTTTGAAACAGTCCATACTGTTAAAAGCGCTATATAAATGAAGGTCACTTGACTTAGACCATAGAAAATGACAATGTGCCGTAAGGAAATAATAATTCATGTTTCATAATAAAAAAATAGTGCACACTTCAATGCTGCATTTTCAGCAGCCATCACTCAGTCTTCAGTGTCACATGATCCTTCAGAAATAATTCTAATATAATCATCGATGTTGATAATGGTTGTCTTGAGCATTTAATGACTGAAGGTACTTTCTTAAAATTTTAAGGACTCGCAACTGAATTTTGAGTGGGTTTGGTTGATCCAGTCGACAACTATGGCATGAGGTGAAAGCATCAAGAATAATTTATTAATGTGAATCACTGCTGTTCGGACTGACAACCGCTCATGGGTTATGGAAAATGAGAACGAGAGATAAAAATGCACAGGAGTCATTCTAGTTAGTAAACAAGAATGTCAATCTCAAACATAGCCGTTGTAATGAGTGATATACTAGCCAGGCTGATAAATCAAACAGCTTTGTTAATTTTGTTTTTATAATATTTTTTCGATTAAGTATTGTGTAAAATAAGTGTTCATTTTACTTTAATTTATATCAAATAGACTTATATCAAAGAGGATACCTGTGTACTTGGCAATGTTGTCCATCAGTAAGGGGTACTTGGTGAACCTCTGCATCTCTGCAGGAATGATGTCCTTTAGCTGTAGTCGTCGACACAGACGATTGCTTTCAGCCTCCTGTAAATAGTGCAGAGACAATCAAACAAGAAATTGAGGACAACAATACATGCAAATCCACAACAAAATCCTCTCTAATCTTTTGCATATCTCCTTGTTATCAAGAGTCTCCAACATCATGAATTATACACTTCAATGTGGATTTTACCCCAAGTAATCCTCTGCAAGTCGCAATACCAGTGATCTGTCAGCAGTATGTAACTTGAGCACAAAAACATCTCCGAAATGTGTAAATATACTGTCTCCTCACTCACAAACATCTTCATGTTGTCCATCAGAGGCACAGTTGAATTAAAAATGAATATACTGTCAATCATCAATTATTCAATCTGATGTTGTTTCAAACCTGTATTAACTTACTTTCTTCCATAGATGACAAGAGGAGACACAAGGAAAAATATTCATGATGATGTTTTCTTTACCAGTGTTGTTATAGTTAACCAAGGCTATAAAACATTGAATGTGACAATTTCAAACAAAATCAGGTCAAAACGAAATTTGTTTGTAGTTCGCTTTGGAAGTTCGAAAAACAGCTTTCGGGAAAAGTTCGCTTCAGCTGTTAAACACCTTTGTACAACCGTTGATCTGTGGCGATTACGTTATAGGTAAGTGTGCGCCTTAGATAGGCAAGCTCTGCCTTATTTCACATGGAAATATTTTCTGGTTCATTTGGCCACAGTCAGACATCCATACGTTTAAACATGAACAAAGTGGAGAGCTGCTTTATAGTACTAAATAAAGTTGTACTTCTGATGAAATGAGACACTGACTGTTTTTCATGTTTAATACAGTAAAGCTGCTTGATTATAAGCATTCTATTGCATAAAGTGCTGTATATGTATATATTTATACATACATACACACACTAAATATATATAAATAAAAGTGCTGAATTGCAGAGCATGTGGAAACATATCTACATTGCTATGATCAGATGCTTTTCTTATGCTTTATTAAAAAATGCTTGCCGTTTTATTATTTTGTAGTGTTATTTTGTTACTGAGAAGAAAGCGTGCAGCACATATTTACATATTCATCTAAACGCCGCTCTCAGCAGTGTGGGTGGCGTCAGATGTTCAGTAACAGTTAGTTAACAGTGAGAACTGGAACCTAATCTAAAGTGTGATCATATATATACACTCACTGAAAATATTCCCCTACAACATTGCTCTAATTGATCACCATTCATTTTCATTGCATGAAAAAAAAGCAGCATGAACATTCTCTAAAACTAACATTCTACTTTTCTGTTCCTCAGAAGTCAGTCAGTCAAATGGAAAAACATGTTGAGTACACAATGACAATATTGGGTGAACTGCTTCTTTAAAATGCGAAAAAGCTGTATATTCTCTAATATACACCTCCAAAGCACAAAGAATATTACAACGGATTTGACATTTTTATTACACCTTTTTTTATGCTTACACTCTAGTTTTCTCAATGGAGAGATTAGAGCCCTTGATTTCATAAAACACAGTATTATGTGGAAAGCTTGTTAAATCTCAAGTCTGTGTTCCCTGCATCCACTTCTGACACATGATGAAAACAGTGCAGAGAAAATCACAAGCTTTCAACACTCATGAGAGTGTAAACAACTACTTTTGCCTATGGTTAATAAACTCTTATCTTCAAAAAAGGCAAATCCTACAATATATCTTACAAATGTAGCTCCAATTAAACAAAATGTCCTTGGTCTTCCGTTATCACTAATGTTTAGCTGTCAGACAAAGCAAATACTATTAGATATATTAGATAAAGCATCAGATAAAGATTAGATATATAGATAAAGCATCTCTTTTGCTATAACGCTGCATCAAACGAGCGAACCAGCTATTTGTATCAAATTAGTAGGGCTGTCGATTCAGTTAATCACACATTCACATTAATATAATTTATAATACACATTATAATATTATACAATTCATATTAACATTAATTTAATCATATTATATAATAATATTTGCTATTCATTGTAAAAATTCATATTTCTGACAATCTATTAAAATTGAAAAAATTAATTCATTGTTTAATTTAGTTAATTAACTAATACACAGACGCATTTTGTTCCTCCAAAAATATCCTTTAATTAATTTGGAATTAACATAATAAATAATAATACAATTCTAATAATTATAACAAATATTAGAATATTATAAAACAACACTGATGTATGCCTGCTCCAAACATTTGCATAATTCGCAGCTCTTGTGGCCCTGCGGCCCGCAAGGAGTCTCGACCCACCTGCATGAAGGAGGTGAATCGCTGGTCCTTCTTCTGCCGGGATTTGATGAGCTCCAGGGCGAAGGGCTGGTTACTGCAGAAAGTGCCCACTGCTTGCATGATCTTTTCCTCCTCTCCACCACTGAACTAGAAAACAGCAAGCCAGAGGATTTGTGGGCGGGAGTCTTATCACACAGAGAAGACCTACTACGATGGCCACAGGATACAAGCAAAACACAAGGCCTTACCCAAGACAGCAACTCATCTCCTATGTGGTCGATGACCGACGACTCGTTCTTCTTGCGTATCGCTGTCATTTGATCCGCTATCCTCACTGAAATTTAAAAGAGCAGTTGCCATGATGAGACACGTGTGGTGATTTATCTGAAGAAAATGTATTGGAAGACGACGTACTGTGCAATTGGATGATTTCCTCTAGGTTGGTGAATATGTTTTTGATGTCAGCAACGGGCAGTATGTTTTCTCGGGTGAGCTTCTGGTAGAAAACACTGTCTAGGACCTTCAGCATCCGTACATGGGCTCGCTCCGTGTAGAAGAGTTCTGAGAGCATCAGAGGGTTACTTCAAAACGCTTAAACAGCACAATGACTACTGTACCAAAACACCACTCTAACACAATACTTTGTACATATTACACCTACAGATCTAAAGTGCATCCGGCTGATTCACGTAGTGAAACAAGAACAAGATCGTACCATTAATGACTTCTTGTCTCTTGATCTCGTGGGGTGTCAGGCCAGCTAAAACATCACGCCCGACCAGCTGCTGCCAGTTTGGAGGATCTACATCAGAGTAAACATCACTCCCCTGATCATCCTCACTCTGCAGCTCCTCAAACCTGGGAGGGAGGAGATGGTACATAGATTTACACTCTCATTGAGCTCAGTGTGTATCTCTATCTAAATGTGACGTGAAGACGGTGCACAGTAAGAGGGCATACACATAGGAGGCTCATCAATAAGAGGGATGACAGTATTCTAACCAGGTGTTATGGAAAACGTTAAAGCTACACTGTGTGATTTTTACCCCCATCTAGCGGTGAAAAGGTATATGACCATCCAGTGAATATTAGTTTCTGTTCCTACGGTGGCCAATGTAGTCCAAGATTAACATGGCTTCCAGTTCGACCTCGTCCGTGAGTGTTAACTCAAACGTAAACGCGAAAGGTGAAGCTTGAATTAACTGGTATGGCCCTCTTTGGCTAATGTACTTTCAAGATGGAGGGGCAACATGGCGACCGACATTAGAACCCCTTACCCGTATGTATTTTCAATGGCATATTATACACTCACGAGAATACTTTATTACTTGAACGAAGTAAATATACATTAATGAGCACATATATTTTAAAAAGAACTAAGTGTTTTTAGCTAAGAAATTTTGTTCAGACTGAGAACTGAAAATACTGTGCAATGCGGTATAACCTCAGTCAACCAATAGACATTTGATGTTTAATATACATTTATGTCAGTAGACACTTTGGACAAATAAGATTTCACAACCTAGCACAAAATAGAATCCAGTCGGTAGAGAAAATGTTCTCATCATGACTAGTTAGGCACAAAAAGTTTCTTCTGGTTAGGATACAGTGTCTAGAGTGAAGTGGGACAGAAGACAGTGACTAGTACCTTCTACTCAGTTTAGGTGTGCCCACATCATGGAGTCTGGAAAACAGTACACACACACACGACACAAGGCACCGATTTTAAAATCCTGGCCAATATGTTACGATATACAGCTTGTAAAAGCTAATAACCAATAAATGTCTGACATTAAAATCTATAATACTGAGTCAAATAAAACACTGAACATTAAAATCGATCATTTTTAAATGCTACAAGTGAATTTAAGCATCACAACATTATAATGGACAACACATTAAGTAAAATGGATTTTCAATGGCGAATGGCTATTTGGCGGAATTTCAAATAGCGGAAAAGAGCATTCACAATTAAATATCCAATATCAGCAGATACCAATAAAACAAACAAAAAAAGATTAGAGAATGTAGTGATGCATCAAGCACAGCTTACTTATTGTTCACTTTTAAAGGAGCTGTATGTAAGAAATTTATTTCAAATAATCATAAAATGGCCCTGTTATGTCACTAGACATTAAGAAATCACGTTCATTTCAAATATTTATATCACTGACAACAGTAGTCCGGTCAGGATATTGTCATTTAAAAAGTTATACACCACTCTACAGTAATTTGAAACTGATTGCAGTACCAGTTTTGGCCACAATCTTACATACAGCTCCTTAAAACCAAGCAGCTTTCTTTTGGTAAACGTGCAAAATCTAAGGAACACAAAACGCAAAACTGGACTTCACCCATGAAATTTTGCTGAGAAATGGTAAATATGACTGCATGTAGAGAGACTATGTTAGAAATAAATTTCAAATAAAAAAATAAACAGATATTGTTGGCTGCGTAAGCTTTTAAGTATGTCTCTCCTACCTGTCTCCATCTCTGTCTTCATCTAGCTGGTCCATGGTGTATGGGATGTAGTCACAGGGTGGGTAGATGCTGTCCAGCACATCTCCAGACGGCACCCCATCACTGAGCCGGGGAACCACCGCAGACGGGCTATCTGATGACACAGAAGAGGCAGTCTCAGACAGCTTGTCCAGGATATGAAAGGAACGATCACTCAGATGAATGAGATGGAAATGCTTTACTCACTAAACTCTGGGTCCCTGCCAGAGGGATCTGTCGGTGAGCCGTAAGGGGCGCTGAAGGGAGGAGAGGTGATCAACCCCGGGCTCTGTAGGAGGTCAGAGCCCTCACTTGACTGACTGCCCCGCATACGTCCTCCTTCTATTAGGTCTGAGCTGCCCATCGCTGGCTGAGACATCTGCTTCTGAGGCCTGTGCTTGATGTTGTCCCCGGCCCTCCCCGCTGCGCAAACACACACCAAACCAGATTCTGCGTCAATATGAATCTTTCACCACCCAGAGGAAGGATAGCAAAATGAGGGCAGGTCTTCTGCGTTTAGAAATGGCCAGAAATCGCAAGCTTTCGAGCCTAGTATTAACCACACTACTGTTCAAAAGCTTGTGGTCGACATAATTACGTGTAATTTACTCCTGTGATAAGGAAGCAAAGCTGATTTCTCATCAGCTATTACTCTAAGTCTTCAGTGTCACATTCTGCAGCTTAAGTTAGAGTTGAAAAGAACAGCATTATTTTGAAATAGATGTAGATTTAAGAACTGTCTATTAAATATGAAATGGCACATGGAAATGTATTTTTTTTTTTGTGTAAGTAGTACATTAAAAAATAAAACACTAAAACTTGAATCATTTGCTTTAAATGCCATAAGTGAATAAGCATTTTGACAATGTAGAATGTGAAATAAGGATATCCACAAAGAGTCACAACAAACATGATCCAATTATGTCTGTTCTCATTTAAGTTTAATTCAATTCATCCGTGTATTTTTCCTCAAACCAGTCATTAGTAAATGCACAAAAAAAGTTCAAAGACTTCAGAAATAAAGGTGTCTTAAATTGCTGTGGGTTGTAGAAATTTACGCTGGACTTACACGGTAATGAATCGATACGACTAGGCCACCGCGGGGGAACCCGGATGGGGAAGCGAGGCTTTTTCAGTTTCTCCTCCCCTTCCTTTTCGGTTTTGCTTTTCTGTTCAGGAAGGATAAAACAACAAACCTCAGGGTAACGACTTTTCCATGGAAAGACTGAGAAGATAAGGGTTCTGTTCCAAAACCTACTAAACTGCCTAGAGGGGCAGCATTTCAAGGCACTAATGCATGCTCCGGACATGAAGGAAACCTAATTATACCGCCTCTTAAGACATCATCTTTTAGTCGATTTCTAAGGAAATCACAGATGGTTTGTGTGGATCATTTTCATGCATAAAAGTAAAATGTGATTCCACTGGCTTCAGATACAATCTACTTTCTATTGACATTTTACAATAGTAATATATCATTTTATTTTATAATTATTTTTAGGCCAAATGTGTGCGTGCTATCTATTTCTGTTTATTTGATCAACATGCCAACTCAAAACTATACTAATGTGAAACTATTGAGCGTAGAGCATTCTGAATCAGTGAAACGAGTTTTTTCTAGGATGTTCCCTTAGAAAGTAATTGCATATGTTGATAGCAAGGCAGCTGACTAGGTTTTGGAACAAAGTTAATGTGGTTGAAATGTAAAAAATTGTAAGGGCAGATGGAAACGGTATGAGCTGATACCCTCAGTTTGGAAGGAAGAAAATTAATTCGAACTCGTTTGGACTCCAGGTTTCGTTGCTCTTTCACCCGAACTCCCAGATGCTTCATGTACATGAAGATCACGTACTGTATGGTGGTGCTGGAAGAGACACATCTCACATTTAAGGTTGAATTTAACACTTTTCTCACTCCCTGTTAAAGTTTAGTAACTAGAGAGCACGGTGTTGAGCATCTTCTTTCAAATCTTTCAATTCCTAATTTAGATTTGAGTCTCTGAGGGTTGTGTTGTGCCTGTTGAGTGCTGTTGGCTCCATGTGGCCAACTCCTTCTGTTCCACATGACTCCTATCTTATTGTGCCTTCTGCCATATGTCACAAAACTCACATGCACACGCACACGAGTTGCCCATGTATCTTCTCACTCTTCTCACATATGTCCTGTACATTCATAAATCATACAGGCTTGTGGTGTTTCCATATGGCATCTCAAATATGTTTGCCTACATTATGGTAAATGATGACTAGGAAATGCATGAAGATACGAAATCTCATTAAGTCGCTCTGTTCTGCAGCATCTTGCATTTGTGTGAAGTGTCTGGCACCCCAGGCTGACAATTTACAAACAAATCCAACGCAACGTCTTTACGCACGATCAAATAACCCTCATCCTTAAACTCTTTATTATCATTATGAATGAGGTTTGCCGGAGGTAAACATAAAAAACAAACAAAACAAAAAAACTCACCATTTCTCCTCTTCTGTGGGTTGTGAAGTCAACCTGAAAGAGACAAGCGTGTAAGATGGAGGACAGCCATTGAGGAAGCAATCTTGAGTATGTAGAGTAGGGCTGGATAATATTCTACATATATTTTGACATTTATGTATGGGGTGAGAAAATTCTATAATATTTGATCCTGATGGACATATATCCTGATGGAAGAATAAAAAAAGCCTAAAACTCCAACAACCTTTTGGAAACAAGGTGTTTTAACCACACAAACAGCTCAATTTGAATGAAGCGCCCATACTTTACAGCTCCCTTTCAAGGGTGCAAATATCTTCAAAATTAATCAGATTCAGTTCCCGCCCCGAGTGTAAAGCCTAAGGTGATTGGTTGTAGCGAGAACGTGCTACGATTGGTCAGCTCAATGTGGCCATTATCTGATTGGCTTGAGGAAACGGTGGGTTGAGTCCATTTATTTGTGGATTTGTCCATACTTCGACGCAAGAAGTGTTTCAAAATCCACAAATGTGTGAGGGGATTTACAAAAGCACAGGTACCGATTCACAAATAAATGCTAGGCATAGTTGTGTTTGTGGCATAAAAAACATTTGTAAATATATTTTTTGCAAGTCTCCTTTTATTTATTTGTGAGTTTTATATATATATATATATGTTGTTGTTTTTTTGCGAAACTCTTTACATTTATTGTTTTTATATTGTTTTTATACATATATTTGTGTGAATATCTTTACATTTATTTTTGGATCATAAACTATTTATTTGGAATAATGCAACAATTCTCACCCCATATTTATGCATTTGGTCTGAAATATAACAACAAAATGACTAAAGCAGTGGTTGGAGGGCCTGGAATTATAAAAAGGAAATGGTACATTCAGCGGATTAAGCAAAAGAAACCTCTTTGGGTTGATAAAAGACCCCACTGCGAAATTGTCCTGCTTATTATGTGGCATATACTTATCACATAAGTAAATAATTCAACATAAATGAATTTAACATAAGTATGATGTAACGTTTGCAACTGAAGATTAAATTGAATGCATTCCTATTAATAGCTGTCCTATCAATACTATGAAAGAACATGAAAATAGTCTAATGTCCAAATAAAAAGTACACTTGTTAAATATCGTCAGAAAAATCACTGGAAATATATAATTACTATTCAATATATCACCCAGCCCTAATGTGTAGTGATCAAAAGAATGTGCGAGGATACTCACAGAATGTCATCTATCTTGGAGAGGATGTTTTCAGCACATGATCGCTCTCTCTCTAGAGCCAGCTGTTCAGAGTCCAGCCGAGACAGCTCTACATCAGCCAGGGTCAAACCCATACTGCGCTTCTGCCTGTAAGAGTGGATGCAGTTGGTTTGTAGGTGCTACTGGCAATCTGAATGAGAACAATGTGGCATCACAGGTTAGCTATGATGGTGAATTAGATTCCTGACCTGAAGTCCTCCAAGTTTCTGTAAACATCAGGAAGGAGCGTTTCCTGCATTGTCTGTATATACTGCCTGTGCAATTCCTCAGGAATCAGCTCTGGTCTCCGCCGATCTGACAACGTATATAGAAAAACAAAATGTAATACACGTTTTCTTTGTTTATTGAGATGTAGCAAATCATGCCAGTATAAAATAGTTTGATTTAAGATTTCTAGACCCTAACCATCACAGAATTACATTTTAATCAAAGCATTATCTAGCAAGTTAATCGAGTAATAGTTCTCATGACGACCCTTAGCTTGTCAAATAATCTAGGCATTGTCAGGTGTTATGGTCTTTTAAGGACAAATCAGACCTAAACTACTAAGATTACTAAGCTATCTAAATGGGGACAAATATAAAACTTTGTTTAAATATAAAACTTCAGTATAATTGCTTTAGTTTAGACTAACCATAAAAGAGAATTTTTTTCAAAACTGTTTTTAAAAAACAACAACAACAACTGTATTTGCATTATTTATGAATCGAGTTTCCTATTGAGGACATCCTCAAATGTCCCCATCAAGAACAATTTTGTCCCCAACCTACAGCTAGGTACATACATAAATACATTTCTCACAAACACACATTAAAACACACCCATTTATGATCAGTAAACAACAGAAAACAGCTCATTTGAGCCATATAGAGGGTAGACGTCACTAAACATGTTGTCTCTTCAAGCAATGTCAACATGACACATGGTCAGAGTGACCAAGTGCTTCAGATGCTAAATCCATAATTACATGGAGAGTCCACATGAACGTTAAACAGGATTTATGCCTTCTAAACAATTGCAGGTTTCCCACAGAGGACTGAGAAATAATTATGTGGTTGGATGTTGAATGAACACAGAAACACGAATGTTGAAACAACACTGCGAGGGTGAGAAGAAGCTTTGTGTTTCCATTAAGACGCTTCAAAAAGGAACTGCGCTTACCGAGCTCAGTGGAGATGGATTCGGGCACAGCGACCTTCAAATTCTGTTGAACGAAAATAATAAATTAAAAAGGAGTTTCTGACAAAAGAAGTTGTTTTTTTTTTGCCTGCAAAAACAACTACAAACACTAAAATAACAAGGTAACAAAACAGCTGAGCTCTGGGAAAAGAAATATGCACAATTTTCCAAATGAACTACCCGTCCATCTGGCAGAGAGAGAACAAAGTTTGCTGGAGGGAAGACTCGCACCCACTCAAACTCACACTGAGTTTGAGAACAACAACATGCGATGACCGTGGAGAAAGGTAAAAGGTTGTCTGAGAGAGCGTTTGCTTCCTGACCCTGAGGGTGCTGGGAAAGGAGTAACCTTCCACACACCTCTCGGGACAAAAGGCACGGTTGATCTGGGTGGATCCAGGCTTTTGCCTCAACATGCCCGTAGACAAATGACACCAAGACAGCGCAGACAATGACAGGCTAGAGCGAGAAGGGATGAGGTGTGAAAAGCTCCACTTACTGCCCCCCGGTCTATGAAGAAAGTCAAGAAGTCCATGAAGATGCGCCGCATTTCTTTGGAGTTGGTCTGTTTGTAGAGGTCAGCGTACAGATAGCAAAGCTGTGGAGGGAAGTGGGATTCAGTGAGCGAGAACTAGAGATACAGATGAATTTGCTTGTGACTGATTCAAATTGAAAACATTACTGATAGCTGATACTGATATGGTTACCAATATACACAACGTTGAAAATTTGGGGGTTGGTAAGATTTCTTTTATTTGGCTAGAATGCATTGAATTGCTCAAAAGTGACAGCAAAGACATTTAAAATGTCACAAAAGATTTCTATTTCAAATAAATGCGATGCTTTCATTTCATTCAACAAAGAATCCTGAAAATAAAAACATCACCTTTTCAACATTGATAATAAATGACATTTTTTTGTAGTCTGAATAGGAAAAACTAGTGTTTTTTTTAATCGATTAAAAAAAATTATCGGTACTAATTAAATTGCACATTTGTTCTGTCACTAATTGTGATTAATCGCAATATTAATCTTTAATACTTTTATATTAAATGTTTCACAGTTACTCTCCAAATTAATCACCAGTTTAACTGATTTTTTTACATTAATGATAGACATTCAACATTACAGTATTACTGAGGGTGATCAATTTTAATTTAAGTGAACTTAAAACAATTTTCACATGAACCCATTACAATAAATGTCATATTTAGCCAAACAGCATGGCTTTTCTACCTATCGAACCGGTAGGAAATATACAGAAATTAAATAAAGTTATCAAACACTTTACAAATTATATATTCAATCTAGATTAACTTATTAAAGCTAATGTTAGCCAAAGGATTACATAAAAAAAACGTATGATGCATTAATTCCATTAAATATTTTTAACACGTTTAACTGAAAAAAAGGTATTCCATGTGTTAACGCGATAATTTTGACAGCACTAGAAAAAAACACATTAAATCCTTCATAGGTGGTTTGAAATCAGATTAAAATCAGATTTTTGTAAGTGCATTTTTTTATTTTTCAGTGGTTTATTTCATCAGTCATTGTGTAGCTTGTTAAATCAGAGGTTGTGACATTAAGACTTCCAATAGAACATCGCATATGCCATGCTTCCCTGTTTTTTACACTTTTTTTTCTGTGATGAATGAGACGATTTGGATCCTCCATTCAGGAAAAGCATAATAATCCTTGGCAAAACATTTATTTGCTAAATTCTCATGGATCTGCTAGTAAAACAAACTTGTAGCTTGAAAAGTTGGTCTAAAAACAGATTTAAGAAAAAAAGGCTGGGTTGAATCATTTCTTCAAACCAACTCTATGGGATTTTTCATCCGTTTTATTGTCTGTCAGGCAATACCATAAATCGGTTTGCTTAGAAAAGCATGACCGATAGCAATAGTCTTGCCTGCCTTAGCAAGCATTTCTAATTACTGCTGGAACTCACAAGAGGTGCAGGGTCAAACTGGGAGATCACATGGTGCAGAAAGGCGGCAAGATGAGCAGGGCGAGTCTTGAGCAGCTCGATATTCTGGAAGCAGCTGCACTGGCCGTTCACCTGGAACACATCATACCAGTTTAGAGAGTGAGGTGACCAAGATCTGGGTCTACACTGAGGGATAAGAACTGAAAATACCTGCTCCTGCTCGGTGTCAAAGTCATCATCTTCAGCAGCAATGATCTCCGAAGCCAGGCGGGAGGGTGGGCTCCCTATGGAGGATTGGAAACGAGAATCCTACAGCAGGAAGAAGAGAGGTGTGACAATCGTGCTGATCTGAATGAATTCAGATGTTAAGGTCTGTAAAAAAGGCAATGGTTCTCACTAGGTCAGAACGGTCCTCGACCTCAGGGGACGGGCACGAGTTGAGGCTGTCTCTGGGGGTGCTCTTTGGACTGGAACAGTTGGAGGCCCTTCGGCTCTCTGGAGAGGCCAGATAGAACCGGTGCTGGACCTGCACATCACACCATATACACAATTAATTACACCATAAGGAAGGAAGGAACAAGAGTCACGGAGAACACTCATGATAAGTGGCACTGTTCAGCTGAGATCAGTGAAAATATCTCATAAGAAGAGAAAGCGTACTTCACTTACTGAACTTCCACTCCAGAAACCCTCTGGGCTGAAATCTCCCTTATATTGATCCTCATCCACCCAACAGCCATCTTCACTGTTCCTGAGATGCATACCCTCCTAAAGCGCAGATTTATAGTCTTTATAGATTCATAGTCTTCTAAGAAGTGGTCAAGCAATATATCGTACATACCGACAGATTAACATCGGCTAATAACGTTTCCAAATGGGCCGATAACTACTCCCATCCAGCGTTTTGAAAGCCTATATTCTGGTGCATATTAACTTTGTGGGATCTACTAGAATAGGCTTTAATGCTAGAATGTAATTTTTTTTAAATCACATATTTTATAATTACAACAACTCTCTTCCTGGTCTGTCATTAATGCTCTGTACCTGTCTATATGAAGTCCCTCCTTCTAAAAAGTGAAACGTGCCCTGATTGGTTGGCTGGACAAGTCTGTTCTGATTGGTAGACCACTTCAAGTGTGTTTTGGAAATGTCACATCCCTAACCATAACTGCTAATTTTAACACATTACTAACACAACTCAACCAGATCTCACCTTTTTTTTTTTTGCACGTCTAGATCGGAAATGATAGAAATGAGGGATATTGTGACGTGTACGTTCCTGGAAGAAAACTCAAGCCTAGAATTAAGGTGTCTCAGGGAGTTCAGATAGAGTGCTTACTGATATGGAAAATACTGTAACTCCCTTTTTAGTGGACTTTGTGCTTTGTAACTTTGCAGACCTTTTTCACGCTCAAACAGAAACTTTACACGCTAAAGAAAGTTAAAAAAAATAGAAAAAAAGCATAGGGATCCCATTACATTTTTTTTTTTTAACAAATAATTTTTAGTAAGTTCAAAATTTAATTTCACATAAATATAATTTATATATACACACATATATATATATATATATATATATATATACACACACACACACACACATTGGTCAATCACAACTTCAAACACTATGTTAGTGAGCTTTAAATGTGAAAATCATTGAAACTGTTCAGAAATATCATACATGTGTAGCCCTGTTGAGCTGGCCCTGCTGATGTGGAATGTGCTTCTTGGCTTCCTGGATGTCCCGTAGTGGTTTGGCTGTATGAGTTCTGCTGTAGTCCTCCATTAGTCCCTAAAGAATGAGAAATTTCCATATACTATATAATCAGACCTCTTACACCCAAGTCAAAATGCAAAAGACAAGTACAATCTAACAACCGATCTGACATGTTGCTCTGCTCGGGACTCAGCGCTTATATTTACTGTATTATAAAGGTCTACTGCTGTCGCTCTCCAAGAAAATGAAAATGACAGATCTTTGTTTACAAGCACTACGAAGGTGGTAAAACTGCATTGTGTCGAAACAGTGGGAGGGGCTTAGGTCTGCCCTCTCACTTATCAGCTGTACTGGAGCCTAAATTACCTCCCAACAGGAAAGGCCTCATTCTTATCAATTTGAGTCCTACTGCAACAATACAGCTCTGTGACTCAACAGTTTACTGACAATTTGTGAAATTTAAAGTAGCCTATGTGTCTACATTAAACAAGTCATTTTGAGTCTGATATTTAGATTCTGACCTGCATGTCCTGTTGCTCCTTGGACACCATCCTCTTGTTGTCCATTCTTTGGTTGTGTGAAGCACTGTTCTCTTCCTATGTAGGGTTGGGTTGAGAAATGTCAAGGAGGAGCAAATGAAAAATACAGATGACGTCAATTTAATTGGAGGAGAGATATGAGGAAGTAAACTGACAACAAATAAACAATACCAGATATAAAAACATTTCATTGTTGGACCACAAGCTCACCCATGGTACAAGGGGAGAGGATGTGCGTTCCGCTGCATTGTAAGAGTTGGGAGATGTAACAAAAGGGTCCCCGAAACACCCCGGTGACTCAAGACCCAGGTTTACCTCAGAGAGGGGGATCTGAGGTGACCCGGGAGGTCGGCCTAATAATGTGAGGGCCACATAAGAACCGGCTGTGAAGAATTAATGAATTTGGGTCAGCGGTGGTAATATGAGGTGTCCATATTTAACAAAACACATGGTTTATCCTCACATTTGATTAAATTCACCACTTCCACATGGTTTGATTGTGTCACCAAGGTCCCGTTCACCTAAAGCAGAGGAGAAAAACATTAAACTCTAACTATAAAAACATATACGCGAGTTCTACTCCTACACTGACACAAACATGAGGTAATTTTGTGACCAGCAGGTGGCAGAACAGACAGATGCAGAAATGCAGTGGTGAAGAGAGAGAAGGGTGTGTAGCTCCATGTAGTAACCTGGTCTCTGTAAGTGTCTCACCTTAATGATCCTGTCCCCCGTCTGAACACCTGCACGCATGGCAGCGCCATCTACCAAAAGACAGAAGATGATTGTGAAGCATTACAAATTAAAAATGTATCATCTAGTGTGCTGTGTGGTTGACAGAGTGCTGCTGCCAGACTGCTAAAGGGGTTGCTATGTGGTTTGTGCTCCATTTACACTGCACTCAAATTGGTTTTTAGTGTCATTTTGCAAATGATGAAACCTCAATTTTGTGCATGCATTTACTGTCTCTTACAGACTCGTTCACTACAGCGTGAACTAAATTGTAGTGAACATTTAGAAAACTGAGCAATTATGAGTGCATTAGGACAAGAACACAGCAAAATAAAATAAAAAAAAAACACCAACGAGTAACAAGCACAAATAATGTTTTTTTTGTTTGTTTGTTTTTGCCACCAAACAAAAGGCAAAGCTTATAGACCACATGGATAAGAACAATGCTGTGATGGATAGACTTAAAATCTTTATAATGGCATGCATGCTGTAATTTTCACAAATCCCAACTTGAAAAAAAATGTTTAATGGAGTTTGTCTACTAACATGTTTGTGGGAAAATGTTTATTCAGGTGAAAAATTGCCATGCTGTTCAACAACACTACAGTCTGTCCTGTAAATGTCAGTCCCTCACAGCATTTTACAAATCCCATAGACTCTGACTAAGGTCTACTATGGGATTGTTTATAGTTCCTTCTACTTTATTCAATGTGTACGATGCTTTGTGTGTCCACTAATTGGCCCTGGTCAGAGCACATCAGCTCCATTTCTGACCTACAGCCAAGTCATATCAGCCTAGGGAGGGGAGAGTCTCTGTGACAGATGCCCACAGGAGCTGATGGGGCGGAGAAAGAAAGAGAAGGCGTCTTAGACAGGCGTCTTACCCTGTTTGACGAGTTGTACGAAAACAGGGTTGTCCCCACTGACGGTCAGCCCAAAGCCGTTCTCATCTTTCTGAATGATCACACATCTCTGAACCAGTCCTGAGAGGGAGGGAGGGAAGGAGGGAGGGAACAAGAGAGAAAGTTTTATAAGAAGGGAGCTACGAAACCGATTTTACTGGATTGTCAATGCCTTTTATATGTATTCACCAGGAGAGGCCTATCAAAGCATATTACAGTAACAATGACTCTAAAACCTGATCGAAAAGACAGTGCAAGTAAGTGCAGACCGTCGTAAAGTACTTTAACACACACACAAAAAAAAAAAAGAGAGCAGAGTTGGATGCATCAATTTCAGAGTCCAATTAAAATTTAGCCAGCCTCCCAGGATAATGGAAAGATACAGGAAATGATGGAGGTGTGGAAGTGTGGTATCACGGTCATCTAATGCTGCTAGCATGAGAGATGTGCCTATGGATAGCTCATCCAATCAGATTTGAATACTAGAACAGCAGAACTCAAATCAGAGAAATGAGTATGAACTCCAACGTAAATGAGTATGAACTCCAACGTAAACTGTTCAAATAGGACGAGAGAAAAAACGACATCTGTCTTCAAGTTGCCTTCTCTGAAATACCTTCAATAAAATAAAAAAAAAAAAAATTAGATATAAATATGACTTCAGCTCTACCATTTGTGTCTGCAGTAGGCTGTCGAATTTTATAGGAAAAAAATGTAGTCCCTCATTTGTAAAATTCAGTTCAGAAATGCACTTGATGTCTATGGGACGACAGAAGGGTTTAAAGAAAAAATATGAAGCTTCTGTGAAGCATTTCACAAATTATTTAATTTATCTTTGAATGTGTCATGTGAAAGTTGCCGGATTTACATGGTCGTGACTTGAGTTGAAATTCTGAATTTAATTTTGAAAAGTGTGATAAGTGATCCATTTACATGCTAACCAATGTAAAGCTGGTTACAAGTGCATTATTGTAAACATGTGGAATGTATTTTGGAATGTATCAGTAAGATTTAACCCCCAAAATTCATTGGAGAGGTCAACAAATAAAATAAATGAATGATATATCAAATAAATTAATTATATATATTTAAAACATTTGAGTTAATGAAAAAAAAATTGCTGAATTGTTCTCCAAATACAACTTTTCTCTGATTCTGTTATAATATATAGTTTCTCTTTTATAAGAATTAAACGAAACAAAACGAAATTCTGCGCAAAAGAATTAAATAATGGTTTTAGTGTCAATTTGACTGTTCACTTAATTTACATAATTATATATTGTAATAATCACTACCAACCAGTTTGGTGTCAGAAAAAAATGTGTTAAAGAAATGAATACTTTTATTAAACAAGGATGCATTTAATTGATTAAAAGTGACATTTTTAAATGTTACAAAAAATATGTTCCCAAAAAAGCATTATGGTTTAAAGGGGTTAAGCAAAATAACCACTTTCAACATTGATAATAGAAATGTATTTCTTGAGCAGCAAATCAGCATAAAAAGCACATAGAATGCATATTAGAATGATTTGTAATTATGCTGAAAATTCTGCTTTGCCACCATAAGAATAAATTACATTTTAAAATATTTCAATGAAAAAGGTTATTATTCACAATATTATAGATTTACTGGATATTCAATCAAATAACCTTTTAAATTATGAATACTTTTTATTTAAACAGTATTGCAAAGAAGAGCACCATTTTCCCCTTTGTTCACTGTTCACTTTGTTCTTCCTAATTGTATCATTGAAACAAGCATTTTCTGTGAAGCTGCTTTGAAACAATATGCATTCAGAAAAGTGCTATACAAATAACCTTGAATGGAATTAAATGAAGTAAAGCCTTTAAGAATAATGCTATCTATCTGATATTGTCCAATAATACACACACAGCCCAAAGTGGTCGACTCAGTGGAAAAGCTGAACTTGAATAAATGCTGATAACACTTGAATTTCACAGTGCGGGAGAGGAGAATCCCCCTATCAGGAGGAAAGAGAGCTAGAAACACGGCAACAGTGTGATCATCTTACCACAAGACTCAGGTCTCCTGTCAGCCACTACAAATCCACTCTTCTGCACCAGCACGTCTGAGCAACACAACATCATGATAAAACATGGGACACACACACCACAGAGGACAGAGAGAGGACTTAAAGAAAAAAAGAGCAATGGCACAAATACACAAAGCGTGGCTGTTTTGGAGAGGGTCATTGTCTATTGATAAGCAGTTAATTCCCCAAGGTCTTACATATTAACAAAGTGTCTCTGAAATGATTAATAAGGTGTTCAAGTATTAAAGTCCCCGGGTGTTAACCCAGAAATCAATGAGCGGCACAAAAAATGCAAATATAACCAACAGAGTTTGGGGTGAAACGTGTTTTAATGAGAGATAACATTCTCAAGTGGTTACGCAATGGCGCATATATTAAATTACTTAAATTTCTCTCAAAAATGTAATCAGTGATATTCTTTGACACAGGATATATAAGTATTATAACAATGGTTTCCCTCTTTAAGTAAGGCTTTACAACTTTGGGCTGAAATGTATCACACAAAACAAAAGAGCCACACTTCCAAGGAATGTTGGAAAGATATTAGGGTTGGGCGATATATTCCCCAGTATAATCCCCCAGTTTCACAGACAAGGCTTATAGTTCCAGACTAAAATGCATGTTTGACCTGTCTTATATTAAAATATATATTATATTATTTTAATGTATATTAAAATATGTCATTGCCATTGTTTTGTCTCAAGATGCACACCAAGTAATGTTTTTTTCTAAGGCTCGTTAATAAAAGCTACTTAAATACCCTAATTGATCTAAGTCCTATAAAGCTGCAGTCCATATCTTTTTTTGGGGGGGTTAAACATTATCCAAAATACATATCTGAGAAAATACATATCCAGCCAGCGTTCAAAACTATCTGCTTGCCTTAGGTCGATTCAAAGCGGAAAGCTTGTAATGATGTTTTTAATTCCAGTGGTACTGGTGGATTTCCGCGGGAGATTCGAGCTGGTCTTAGCGTCATTACGTAACATCTGTACACATAAAGACGGAGTCTCGGCTAGTCGGCAATATTGCCTGTGAGGATGCTGGAGGTGGAGATTTATAGCCTTTTCTCACAGCACTTGATATCATTAAACTTATCAATTTGATGGGGGATCCAGAAAGGTTCAAACGACAATCACCAGTGACAACAGATTCACTCGCTGTAAAACTCAATAGATTTCGTTCGGATTTCGGAGTGGCTACAGGAAAAAAAAGAGACCGCAACCGGACCCATAGGAAAACAAGGATACATATCGGAAGGACATTATTACGTTTACGTTGTTAACATTAACAATTTGAGAATAAAGTATAATTTGCACGGTTTTGCTTGATAACTTATAAGCAATTGTTAGATTTAATCAGCACGAATTACTGCAATGTCAGAACCAGAACAATGATGTTTCTTACTAGTTTAGATGACATTTTCCGGTGAAAATCCAAAAAGAATAATCTGTGATTCTGAATGGCAGTATTCACACCGGCGCGTTGACTGACAGCCTCGCAGTCTCCTCAAACATAGCGTTCATCCACGCTGTGCCGTGACGAGGGTGTTGAAGTACAACTCACGTAAAGTTGAGCATTTTGAATGACTGCAATAGCAGATTTCGAACAGAGAGGGCGACAAAGAGGAAAACTGCCGGACTGCAGCTTTAATTTAAGCCCCGTCTGTGAAACCAGGCCAATATGATCTCAAATTATTTTGCCGTGAAATTATTCATGTTCCTCTGACTGGAAAAAAAATTATTCAGAACAAACAAACAATATCAGATATTGTCAAAAGATATTTCATACTTTTAGATATATCGCCCAGCCCTAGAAGACACCGTGGTTAAGTCATGCTTCAGATGAGGCAAGTCCAACACCAGAATAACATCCAAAATAAACATGCATCACCTCCTCCATTCACCACTATTCCCTCTAACTCAAATGTGAAAGTGAGACATTTATGGCAGCACAAAAAGCAATCAATAAAACTACACACGTGAAAACTGCTTCAGAATAGCTCAGAAATCTTTGAAAAGAGGCCTGAGGAAATTCTGTCATTATCTCATTCAGGCACACAAGTGATTTTCAATCGAACAGGAAAACATCTCTCATTCCAAACAATGTGAATCGTATTTTAATCGATACGATTATCACAGTGCTCTTCACCATAAACCTCACATTAACGGCCATGCATTGCACAGAGCTGCTTTTCCTTCTCTACTCTCCCCAGCAGCTGAGAGGAAAAACAGAGGCAAAACTTGAAAGAAAAACACACTGACAATATCTTTCAACTGCCAAAACCCGGGGCCAGGAACATGTGCATCGTTTATGGTCAGCAAGTATGAATCATGCCGCTGTTTAAAGCCGTTCCACTGCAGTTAGTGGACAGGCACAGCCTTCCATCTGTGCTGTGTGGAGGAAACTGTTTCCATTTTAGAGTCTAAAGAGAGACCGTGTGAGAGGAGCAGTGTGCTTCGGTCCACACCACATGCTCACAAGCAGTCAGGACACTCTTTAGTAAAGCTAAAACACTACTATTCTGAACAAGTAGAAAAAGAAAGTGTGAGTGTGAAAGACAAGAACGAAAGTGCCCGTCGTTACTTACCTGTAGGGTCAAACTCGTGTGTAGGGGTACCGGGCAGCTTATCACTTTTGGGGCTTTTGTCGGGAGGGTGGTCTCTGTTGAGAATGCTACTGGTTCTGCAAACACAAACAGGAGAAGTCAATGAAACACATGAACAACCTGCAACAAAAATATAACAATACACCATTTGTAAAATAAGTGCATGCATGTCTCATATGCCACCATAAAAATCCTATGTTTAACAGTGTTATAGAGAGCCTAAGTCCCGCCCCTCCGCTTCCGGCTCATGGGACCTTATTTCGGAAAAAATATGTGTGGTAGTCAATGGCGAGAGACAACTTATCTTTTTATTCCGTCTGAACTGTGCCCTGAATTACTCATATGATGTTTGTCAATTTAAAAGATCATTCTGAAAGTCAAAAACGTCGCAGTTTGTCATAAAACAGAAGAGTAACATTCAGTTTTATGTGAAAATCGCTCATTGAACTACATCTCCCGGGAAGCGAAACAACGAGCAAGATCCGCTGCTCCGTGTGTGTGCAGTCTGGTATAAACACACAGGCATGACGGCGTAACGTTACGATTATAACGTAAGACTATAGAAACAATGACAGAAATTAGCCTCAGTAAAGTCTTCATTCATTGAGAGAAAATGTGCGCCTTTGGGGTTTGTAGTCTTTATAATTACGTATTTTCACAGTCATATACCTCAACAGTTTTACATCAAACTGCAACTTTCTTTACTTTAAAATGTATCTTAAAATTGACAAACATCACATGTGTAATTCAGGGCACAATTCGAACGAGATCAAAATATTTGTTGTCTCTCGCCATTGACTACAATACAATATTTTTCCGAAATAAGGTCCCATGGTGGTCGACCGGAAGGGGAGGGACTTAGTCTCTCTCTCTCTCTCTCTCTCTCTCTCTCTCTTATATATATATATCAGCAACAACATGAAAGAACTCATATCGTCAGCCATTAATTCAGACCAGTTTTAAGTGCATTGACTGATGGCACTGTGTATTGTGTAGTGTTGAGTAGTTGCATCTTGCTGTGTGCTTTTTGCTTTGTTAACTTCCAGCTAGGACAACAGATGTGGCCCACCGCGCTTATATAGCCTTATTCATTAAACACATTAATTAAGAGGCTCTGCATGAGTCCTGCTGGTTCTTTATCAGAAGAGCAAGTGGAAAAGCCTGCGTACAGCAGTATGAATCAGGTCTAAAAGTAGCCTCGGCAGTAAGGTGAGGTGAGGTGGGGCGAGTGTGTTTAACAGTGCTCTGCTTCCCGCTCACAGGCTGTGTGAGAAACCTTTGTTCTATAGGCCAGCCAGTGATGGGACACACTGCTGAAGAAGCCCTTTGTAGGCCTGTCTTACTGCGTCTAACTGAGAGCCACTGTACTAACAGACTGCTGCCGTTTCCTTCACCTGGGCTCACACGCTTGACCCGTGGACCCTGCAGACCACCAAAGTGACTGAAAACAATGTGCTCAACGCATTTTGAATGATGGAGGGTCAGCTAAACATCACATTTGTCTGTCAGCCTGACAGCTCATCGATTTTCAAACTCATTCTACGGGTCATCCAAACGGCCGGTTAATTACAGGACGGTATCAGAGAGAGTTTAATCTAAACCCTAAAAGTGAAGTGGAAGACATCTGCAATGTTGCTCTGAACACTGGGAATAACAGTATGAATGCTTAACTAACTTTTCTAAGATTGCTTTAGAGGTCAGCTAACTGTGAAATTAACACTGCAGCAGAGTAATGGAAAGGACTCGCTGAGATTAGCCCACCCTTTATGAGGACGGTAGATTACACAAGGCAATTTGTCACCGCTGGTAAGCCAAATAAGTCTAATGAGAGAACAGCCGGCAATCACTGACTTTTCAATTTAAACTCAATTAATAAAATTATTATTAACATTGAATGCCAGCACAGGCAACATAAGCAATCCTGTTCCCTTTCCCCATAGGGGCCATAATTTCCCCTAACGGTCATGTGAAAAAAAAAAAAAAAAAAAAATGTCAAATAAAAATATCCACTGTTTCACAACGCAAAACCCATCTTAAATGTAACATGAGAGCTAATAACCACTAAAAATTACAAGTTTAAATTACCAGTCAACATTAGAATGACTGAAACCCAAATCAGAAAGACTGAACAGTTCTTCCTAAAAACTGAAAATTGATCATTTTTTTCTCACTCTCATGTTGTTCCAAACCTCCATTCCCTTCATCCAGGATTTGTGCATTAGGCTGACACTTTTTATATGCAATGTGTTGTTCATTTGTTCTTTTCAAACTAACTTTTCACATATAAATTTACAGATTTTAATAGTTCTAAGCAATGCGTTTTATGAGCTATCCTTTCATGGATAAATAGAATAAGTTAATATTACAAAACTGTTTCTTTGCATTTGTTTTGGATTTATTGTCAGTACTGGCTTACAGTGCAGATGGGTAGGGTACTTTCCACTGTGTGTGTGTGTTTGTGCGTGAGTGAACATGTTCATTCGCCACATCCAAAAAACATTTTTGACCCTGGAAAAACCATGATACAGGGCCTTTAGAACAACATGAATGCGAGTAAGAGACAATTTTCATTTTCAGGTGAATTATCCATATGAAAACAGTCAAAACAATTGTATAGTTCTTAAGTCTTTGAGCAGGGGCAATGGTGTAGCACACTGTTCATAGTTGTATCAGAGCTCTCTGTAGCAACACAGGATCCTTTTGAGAGCAGTTTGAGGGAACTGAATGGGCCATTTATGAAAATGCCTGTGAAACGTTCCATGGTCTGCTCAGCTAAAAGCCTCCCGCCAAAGAGGAGGAATGGAAAAGTATATCCAAACAACCAAAGCGGCCAATAATCGTACCTTTTACATGTTATTCTCTCCATGATGCATCATGAATGCTGATGGTACACATAAGAATACTGCCATTTGTGTATTTGTGCTTAAGACCACATCTGTTACAGCAATGCTTGTGCATAAAAGTTAACACTTGTATTTTTCAGTCTGTCTCCAACTGTCTAGCCTCTATAGAGTCAAGCAAAGTTGTAATGCAGGAGTCACCGCAGTGATGCAAAGGAGGCCATCTTCCACCTGGAGAAGGGGGTGGAGCAGAGTTTGAAGGGTAAAGGAAGTACAAGATTGACAGGGGAAGAACGGTGGGTTCTCTGCTCAAATGAGGTTTTGTATAATAATGGAAAAACGATCCACATGAAGCCTGAAAGGTCTGGATGAGGGACCCCCAATTACTCGACTCTGACAGACGTGTTTGTCAGAAACCACTTAAAGGAATAATGGGCTATGTCGTGATTGTCGTCCCTTCTTTTCTGCACTTTTTTGCATGCATGTGGTGGGTAAGAAGATAGAGAGAGAGCTGGAGGGTGATATTATTGCTGGATAGAGCACTGGCAGTGTGAGAGAGAAAACAGTGACTGTGTAGAAGAAAAAGCACATGCTGTCTTTATCCAGCGCTATATCTAGAGGACCTCTGTGCTCCAACTCATGACATCACCCCCATGAATATGACTGCACTCCTCCAAATGGTCATGTATGGACAGACAGAGGCAATCTTGAGTCAAGACACACCACAGGACTAGGACTCACAATATAGTCTGGTAATAAAGACATGTTTTATGATGGTTAGATATGAAATAAAATACATAGATTAAAATAGACAGAATGATTTCATTTATCACAGAAGATCTTGATTTGGAACTTAAATACACATTGTAGTGCATTTGAATTGCTAATTCACATAATTTTAATCTTATTCTTTATACTTTTTAACTAAAATAAATTGGTCACAAAAGCAAAGTCATCTGGATCACAAAAAATATATTACATTTTTTTAAATCATGACGCTCCCAACAATTCTTCAGAATTCATATCTGTCATGAAGTTATTATGGCAGTTTAATTTGATCATAGGTTATTTAATTAATTAACAAGCCAACAAATTAATTGTTATAACTTAAAAAAAAAAAGTTTAAATATTTGAATATTTCTAATAATTTAAATGTAATAAAACAATGACTATAAAAATATGTTGCTTAAACCTAAATATTCTCTGTTATGGGTTAAAAAACAAACAAACAAACGAACAAAAAAAAAAACACTGGGTTGACTGACCCAGCAGTTTCTCTCTCTCTCTGCTCCCAGCTCCACTTCCTTCCTCATCATCCGTGCCACTGCTCATATAGTTCATTTGAATATATTGTAACTGTTTAGATCAAATCGATTAAACATTAAATTAAACATACCATAACATAACCATAACCCAGTATAAATCAATATCAATTACGACAAATAAATTGTAACATGTCAATTTTGTTGTGCAAGATTTGTATCATGTGCAGAACTTAAAGTGACAGATCTTAAAGTGACCGTCTGTTATTAATGTTAATCAAGGAACAAAGAAAAACGAGAAAAGAGAGCTGCTCTTGATTAAAGAACTTTTGTAGCTTTAATACAGATTCATCTATATTTAATTTATAATTTATGCAGTGCAGACTAAACTTATTCAATTACTGAAAAGGCAGAGGTTAAATATGACATTTATCATGGATTTATGCGAGGATAGTTTTAAGTTCAGTTAAAAGTTATTACATTATTTAAAAAAATGTATGGCTTTCAATTACACTAATGTTGAATGGCTATAATAAATATTTTAAAAAATTTATTTAATTGAGACATCAGTATCTAGAATCAGTGATACTGACCATTCATAAAAAGATGCCATTAAAGAAATATTTCAATTAAATATCCTATCTTTATGTTGTTTGTTTCTACATTAATTTGGAGATCAACTTGGAAATCCTTACATTATAAAATATGAATAAATAAATAAACACACACACATAGACATGCTGTCAAATATATATATATATAAAACTGGAAGATTCCTTGAACTGATTCGTATTATAAGAAAGTCTGCGCAATAAATAAAATCACATGGATAAACATAGTAAATGTACACTATAGCCTTTCACTTCTCCTTAAAATACCAAATGGGGAACTTGCCTTAACTATAAAGCACAAAACTATAAGAGACAAAACCACCCACTCCATGGCGAAGAGGTCTCATTTGCAGATCTGTCAAAT